TGTTTTGAGAATGATGAGGGCAATGAATGTACAAATGTGCTTTACACAATTGATGTATGTATGGATTGTGATAAGAGTTGTATGAGCCCCTAAAAAACAAATTAAAAGAAAGAAAGAATGTGGCAGTCAGATTTTCCAGAGCACAGGATGTCGTAGTCTTGGGAAAGTGACAGCTGCCGGACACTGGGAAAGAACAATATTGATGTTCAGTGGCAATGGTGTGTATTTAACCAGATGCGGGGGAATGCAGGTGGGTTTAATTCATTCTTTGTGGACTTCTGGAAACCTGAGAATACCTGGTCCAGAGTGTTTATGTGGTTGGATAGGTGTTAAGTTTGTCAAAAAACCCTCCCTGGCTCCTTCATAATGAATTTCTGTCTACCATTGGGCTGTGTTAGATTTAATAATAAACAGTAAAATATTCCTGATTATTGTGGAAAAAAAGATTTTATTTTAACTTCTCTTTACTATTGATGGATATTATAATGGATAATTCAAAATAACACTTGTTCTTTGACTTTTTGGAATAACATTTATAAATTCTATGCCCAATTCATTCCCAATGACAGAGTTTCACAGATGCTGGAAGCTGTGAACCGGGCCTCCAAGCCCATTACGCTTGGCGTTGGATTTCCTTTGGCTGACACCCTCTGTCCAATTAGAGAATTGTAAAATGGAGTAATTTCATGCAAAACTTAATCACATTGGAAGGCATGACTTTGGGGCTTTTATCTTCTTTTCAAAAACAGAAAGGATTTCCTTCATGTTTGTAGTCCAAATTCTTCCCTCGATGGTGGTAACCTAATGGAAAACATTCCAATACTAAACCCACCCTACCAAGCCCACTTCCAGCAGCCCTCTAGACCAGAGCAGCACTGTCCCGTTGGGTTCCAAGGCCGTCCATCTTTCTGGTAACAGACTGCCTCGTCGTTCTACTCTGGAGTGGCGACTAAGCTGGAACTCCCAACCTTCCCGGAAGCAGCTGCACACTTCAACCACCGCCCCATCAGGGTTCCCTGCGATCTTTTCTTTAAAAGCATACCCAGTCTATGGGATTGTCACAGTCCTCCCTCTTCTTTGAGTTTCTAAAATGAAACCGAGATTACAGTCCCTGGCACCACGGGATGAGAATGAATTATCCTTGATAATATCCAGCTAAGGTTCATTGTTGGAAGTTTTAAATATGCATACGAATTTTGAAAAAATGAGTCTTTCCAAAATCCATGTTCTGTGCAAAAGAAATCCTTCTATTCTATGTCCCCTACTCACCCCACACATACTCACCAAAGTCATGGGCCCACCGTGGACATTTACACTCTGAGTGAACATGAGAGTTAAGACACCACCATGCCTTCCCGTCACTCCAGGCCAGTTTTGTAAGTAAAGAAAGCAGGGCCTTGGTGGGAAACCAGAAGCATAATCTGGATAATACTTTTTGCAATGGATCCTTAAATATACTGAATGATATTTTTATTTCTTTTAATTTTACATTCCAAGGCTTATTACATGATTATATTATTAT